ATGCTAGACCGTCATTAAGTACCTGCAAAACATCATCACCCACCTCAGTCCAAAAAAATTTATAAAAATCAACTGGAAGACCGTCAATTCCTGGTACTTTGCCAGATTCCATATTTTGTAATGCTTTATACAACTCTTCCATTCTTAAAACACCAGATATCTCAGCATTTGCCTCCTCAGTCATCTGATTTAAACCTCTAAAAAAGGCACTCTCTGAGTCCCACTCTGCACCCAATTCATTCTTATACAAATTTTCATAAAAACTGTTTGCTCTTTTACGTATTTCTTCAGGTCTAATTAAAATTTCCCCCATCTCAGATCGTAATGCATGAATAGTACGTTTTTGTCCATTTTTCTTTTCAAGATTAAAAAAATATTTAGATGGTGCATCCATCTGTTCAATACTTAAAAAACGTGAACGAATTAAAGCCCCTTGTGTTTTCAACCCCAGTAGGTCTGCCAACTGAGTTTTTCTGTTTGAAATTGTTTCTATACAATTAGGATTGTTTGTTGAATCAGCTAAAATCTGCAAATTGATTATCTCTGTCTCCAAGGCTTTCATGGAACTATTTAACTCTTTGGTGACATTACGAGTGTACTGTTGACACAGTTGTTTGATTTGGATCTTCCCAAAATCCCACCACTGATTTAAATCTTGAAAGGAATCTTTTGTTTTTCTAAAATCTTCCCAAAAAAACTTAAAAACTTCTTTAAAATCCTTATTACATAGTAGATTGGTGTTGAAGTGCCAATATGCACTGCGGGGCTTAACTTCATTTAAAAAAAAGGAACATAAAACCATATGGTGATCAGAGAAACTGACTGGAGAAATGATGCAACTTTTAAAAATGCTCAAGTGATGTTTAAAACTATAAAATCGATCTAGTCTCGCAAGAGAAAGAAAATTATCACGAGCATGAGCCCATGTATACTGTCTCTGTCCTTCATGAAAATGCCTCCAAATATCACTTAGTTCATTCATATTAATACATTTAGTGAGACGTTCACGTGAAGGCATATGAGGTTCAATATGGTTCCTGTCTATATGACTTTCTGTACAGTTGAAGTCTCCTCCTAAAAACAAATATTCTTCAGTATTGCACTTTTGTAGCACAGTATTAAGTGTATCTAAAAACACTAATCTTTCTATTGCCGATGTTGGAGCATAAACGCATATAAAAATGAGAATGTATTTTTCAAAGATTGCTCTTATTTTCAAAAGTCTTCCTTTCACAATCTCCTCTGCTTGAAAAGATACTGGACAAAAATTTTTTGTAAATAAAATGCCCACTCCACCACTGATTGTGGTGTTATGACTAAAAACAGCATTTCCATCCCATTCTTGCATCCAATCAACTTCATTCTTAAAGTCACTGTGTGTTTCCTGAATAAAAATAACATCTATGTTTTTCTGTTTAATAACCCCAAACAATTCAGCTCTTTTTTTGTAATTTCGTGCACCATTCAGATTTAATGATGCTATACACACTTCAGCCATAGTCAAACATAAATAGAAAAAGAAACACAAACTATTGTGATTCATCTTCATAAAGTTATGCTTTTTCACTTCCATCATTCAGGTCTGCATTGAGTTTCCGCACTATTTTTTTTAATCGATACACTTCTTTGTTGGAGAAACAACCTTCAGCCATAAAACCTTTAACTTTATCCACAAACTGCTCAACATCTGGAAAGTATTCATTTACTAAGACTCCCCTCTTGTTCTTTGTTGACCTTAGAAATAGTTTAATATCATCTACTCCATAATTGCGACTAGAAAACTCACTCTGAGACAGTGTAAGACTTGAATCAGATAGCTCGCTGTCACTCTCTGACTCAAGTTCATCTTCCATATCTACTTTTTTCACTTGCCGAAAACCATGCACACTGTCTGACTTTTTCCTTTTTAATGGCACCTTAAATACTGTTTTCTCCACGTCTGTTTCATTTTGCATATCATCAACCTCCCGAACATCCCTCAAAACAACTTCCAGATTTTGTTTATCGCTTGACTCACCTTTGTCTTCCTCGTCATCAACTTCTTTTGCATTTTGTGCTTCCACCTCCACTGAAACCGATTCATTCTCCATAGGATCCACACTGTGATCGCCATCATGCCCGGTCGCTGCCACTACCGCGGGTTCCACCTCGGCGGCCTCATCGGCCAGTTGTTCGTCACCATTAGCTGCGTCGCTCACATTAGCGGGGCGATTGCTTTCTTCTTGTTTGTTGGGGCAAATACGGACCAAATGACCGAAATTTCCGCAGCCAAAACACTTAATCTTGTCGGTGGTAATAAACACCACATAGTCAAAGTCATCCACTCGGAAATTAAGCGCAAGGTCTAGATCAGCGTCATTGTTTACGATCATGTAAACAGAGCGCCTGAATGAAACAACGTGTTTCAGTAAAGGGGAAGCACCACCAATTGGAATTTTTTTAATCGAGGAGACCAGTTTACCGTAGCGAGACAATGCTTGTGTTAAAACTTCATCACTAATAAATGGTGGGACGTTCGAGAGAGTGACTCGTTTTGACGGTAATGAAAGAGGCATAACCGGAGTAAGGACTCCTTCCAGTATGATTCCTCTTTGAACCACTTCGTTTGCATTCTCTACTGTGCTTAAAAAGATTACTATTGCACTATTCATTTTAGATGCAGACAAAATATTCTCATGTCCCACAATTTCACCTACAGCTAAACAACAGCTCTCCACGCTCACTGCAGACGCCACTTTCACACCGTGACGACGCGTGAGCGAGCTCAATCCCCGCGCACCTGTACCTGCCCCAGCCATCTCCCCAAAAACGCACAAAAACCCCTACAACCCAAAATCCCCTCCCCCCGAAAAAAACAAGAAAACAAACAAAAAAAAAACCAATAAGAAAAGGAAAAAAAACTACACCATATAACAAAGAATATAGAAAAGGAATGGAAAAAAGTTTGAAAAGCAAGGCACTCAAGCACCCAAGTCACACACGCTCACTCACAACGCACTCACTCCCAGCATGCTCTACGAGAGAGAGAGAGAGAGAGAGAGAGAGAGAGAGAGAGAGAGAGAGAGAGAGAGAGAGAGAGAGAGAGAGAGAGAGAGAAGCGACGCACAGCACCTCTCTCTCCCTCTCTCTCTC